TGTGCTTCATGCAGTTCATGATCCCCTAATGAGGCACATCAAGGCCTGGCCTCATTAAGACCCTTTTGGTTACAAGTATCCCAGACCCACTTCAAAATAGCTTCAGAGAATGAGGGAACTGAATGGAAAGGCACTGGGACACCTCATAGACTCCAGGCATCAGAAAGGGTGGGGACCCAGGCGGCTCCATAGAGCTCAGAAGGTTTAATTGATATTCCCCCAAGATCTCCATCGTTAATCGAGCTTAACTTCTAACTCCCTGCCACCTGTGCTTCTCAATAAAGCATCCGGAGGGGAATCAGATGGGCTTAAGTTGAATCAGGCATCTATGTATGAGCTAATCAGCCACAGTCAAAATTAATGGTCACATAATAAAACATATGTATATGTTTGATGTCTGTGGGCCCACCTCTGAACGGGAGGGAGATACTTCAAGCAAAGGGGTGAATTCTGAGCAAAAGGTACCTTTTATAAGGCTCCAGATGGATGCTACAGGAACCTGGAACTTAGCTGAGGCAGTATGGCCTAGTCATCTCCATGTCTCCAGTCCCTACGGCGAGGCTAGAGACACTTGGGCTTGTCCGTCAAGCCTGATGACGCTACGGACTTGCCTCGTCTCCTGTCCATTACTACCTATGTTCTCTCCGACACAGGCTCACAGGCTCACAATCGCCACGTCTCTATCTCCAGTCCAGGTACCTTTTCCGAGGGCCAGATTCAATCATCCATCTTCCTACTTGACCTCTCCACTAGAAGCTTCCAGAGAAATCTCAAATTCAACATATCCTCATGAAACCCCTGATTGGCAACAGTGTTAGAAGTTGGGGTACCTCAAGACAGTGTAGGTATTGACTGGGACAGAGCAAGAAAGAAATTACTAGGAGTATTTAAAATGATTTCTATATTGATCTGAGTGGTGGTTACACATACACAGGTGTGTATATGTATGTATATGTGTGTATATGTATAACTGATCCATCAAGTTGCACCCTTAAAATCTGCATATATTACATCTCAATAAAAAAATAAATGAAAGAAACTACTATGGATCTGTCCTTTACCTTTTGTGAATATCTAGCTAAATTAGATTTGCAAACCCAATGCAGAAAAGAGCTAGGTAGAGATTTTAAATGAGTGTGGCCAATTATATTATTGTTCTCAATTATTCCCTGCCCTTCCCATAAGTGTTTCATATGTTCTCACCATGGCCATATGACTTGGAGGATTTCCCATTGGACCAACTAGACTTCCTTGCCCCATTGATGTCAGCTCGGCCTGGGATTTGGTTTGGCCGATAGAATGTGAGCGAAAACAACCTATACCACGTGTGAGCAGAAGCTTTGAAAGCCTTTGCCCCATGTGACTATTTTTCTTTTCCCTCTGCAGCAAGAACAGCATGTTCCACATAGGGGGCTGCTCCTCTGTCTGGACCCCAGAACCTGTAGCCACCACAGACAACGTCATTTGAGCAGGAAATGAACTCCTGTTGCTGTAAGACACTGAGGTTCTGAGGTTTTATCAGCGCATAACGTAGTCTAAACTGACCACTGCAAATATCAGGGGAGGACTTGGTAGGTTATCAGGAAAGCCTGCCTGTTCCCAGGGGCAGCTGATCTTCAGTTTCAATGATGGTCATTTGGTTGGAATGCAAGCTCACTCTTCACAGGTCTTCATGTTGTCTAAGAGGGAGATTTTTCATTAAATCCCCTTCCTGATTTTTAGTTAATACATACTTCCTTCTAAATGTTGGCAACTAAATCAGTATGTTTTTTAAAAACACTTAAGACAAAGTTATGGTGATCCTGAACAAGTAGTCAGTAAGAATATAAAGAAGATGGAGGAAATGCCTGAAAAACAAACCTGTCATCCGGGGGGGGGGGTGTGTGTGTGTGTGTGTGTGTGTGTGTGTGTGTGTGTGTGTGTGTGTGTGTGTGTGTTCCACCCTGTTGTATTTTCTGGTCTCACAGTTTTCCTTCCATTATGCAGATGCACCACTAGAGGTCAGTGTAGAGTCTGCACCCGCATTCTTAATACTGTGTCTGACTGCCAGTTTCTACACTGAGAATCCTACAGGGTTCGAGTAAATTAGACATCGCTGGAGACAGAAATGACAAACTGAACCTGTCCTACTTCGGGCACATCATGAGGAGGCAGGGTTCTTTGGAAAAGACAATAATGCTGGAAAAACAGAAGGCAGCAGAAAGAGAGGCAGACCAACTATGAGATGGGTTGACTCCATACAAGAAGCTGTGAGCATGAGTCTACGGGAGCTGAGCTGGGCTGCTGAGGACAGGGCGGTGTGGACACCACTCATTCATAGGGTTGCCAGGAGTCAGAGCCGACTCGACAGCATGTGGCAACACCAACTGTCAGGTCAACAGGTCTGCCTGAAGGGAGCTCCAAACCCATACTTTGACCCACGGCCAGTGCCCGCTCCCCACGTTAGTGAGACCTGGCCAGTCCTTCTAGGTAACAAAGAACAAAGCACTCATTCCTTTCCTGTGGCCTCATGTTCATATAGGTGACTATTTACATCATCTGGTTTGCCAGTACTGACGACAATAGATTAACCAACGCTCAGTATCTGTAAGGTATTGTGCCTGATGCTGAAAATAGAACAAGGGAGATAGGACCTACAGATACAAGGAAAAGGTCATGCAAGGACAGTAAATGCAGTAGTGCATGTAAGACTAATGAAGCGATTCTCAAGGAAAACAGGTCATATGATGAAAGTGTCCTCAGAGGCCAATCACTCCAGGGTGAAGAAGAATGAAAGCTGGATTTCAGGCTGATTTTTCTTTTCTTCTTGCCTTAGCGAGAAACCTCCATACTGGGGTAACCTGATGCTAAGATATGACATAGGAGATATATACATATATATATATATACACACACACACATATATACATATATATATATGATCAACCTCTGCTCCCATCAGCAAGACTGCCTACGAGAAGTTGCTTCCCTCTATATGGAAACATTTCATTTTGTTACTTATCGACTTGGCAAATATTTATTGTCAACAGTGCCCCAGACACCCGTTGGTAAACAAGATAGCCACCGGCGACGGCATACTCACTTAGAACTTAGAGTCCGGGGGGACACAAAGATGATAAGGGAAGAAGAGGGTACAACACGAGTGCCGATGAAGGCTTAGGAGGCCGGGGACAGCCTCCTGGAGGGAGTGCTATTAAAGTGAGACCCTGCGTGAATGGAAGCAGGCCGTGTGAGAAAAGACTGAGAGTGTTTCAGGCAGAGGTGACAAAGCCCAGAAGGAAAAAAAATTAAAAAAGAATCAAATAGGGTTTTATTTTTGCATATGCAGCTTTGGATCTTGCTGCTTTCCGTTTACCTATTTTATCCCAAGTCTCCACATCATTAATTGTTCTTGAAAACATGATTTTAATAGCTGCCTCCTAGTCTTTTGGGAGAATAGTGATGGATTTGTTTACCCACTTTTAAAGGGAAATAGTATTTTTTAAGGCTCATGCGAATTGCTCTCCCCTTAGCAATATAAAATCATAGGAAATCATTCTTTATTAATTATATTAAAACCTACTAAATTTTCACTTGGCTGTCTGTTGAGAGCAATTTCTGCAACGCAACCTGATGTGACTGGATTTAATCAAGGTATTAGTTTATGAAATAGTGGCTCAATTTAACTATTTGTAAATTTTGCTGCATTGTTCTGCATGACTTAACAGGGCCTAAGAGGGGCTCAAGGATTCTGAGGCTTTAAGACCCTTTCACCGTCCCTCAAAGTCCCCACTGTGTCCTTCAGTCTTCATCTCCCCCAAGCCTGCTTCTCAGCTCCCTGCCTCCTCCTCAATCCCAGCCCCCACCCTTAGGATGTTAACTGATATTTATCTCCATCTTTTCCCCCATACATGACTTTTTTTTCTCTGTGACTCCATTCCTGAAGTTGCAAACATCATTTCATAATTTTCTTTAAAACCGCATTTTGGGCCCCATCCGGTATGTCTCAGTGGATTGAGTGCCAGCCTGCGAACCAAAGTGTTGCCAGTTAGATTCCCAGTCGGGGCACATGCCTGCGTTGCAGGCCAGGTCCCCAGTAGGGGGCGCGTGAGAGGCAACCACACATCAATGTTTCCCTCTCTTTCTCCCTCCCTTTCCCTCTCTCTAAAAATAAATAAATAAATAAATAAATAAAATTTTAAAAACCCACACATTTTGGGGTAAAAATGTAAATATGGTGTATTTGACAACTTTCACAAACACACACTCTTCTAGGAAGTCAGATGGTTTAGCTGGAGTATCCAAGCCGTTCTTTTGAGCTGTTTCAGATCTAAATTCACGCTGCTTCCGTCCTGCCTGCCTTTAAATTTGATCTTCTTCAGGTTGCCCTCTCTCTCATTTTAACCCGCTTTCCGACAAAGGTTTTGGTTTGCCTTTTTTCGTTTTTGAGTGTTCGTATTTACTGTCTTTCCGTTAACTTATGTTTAGAGAAAAACAGTCACTGGTTAGGCAGCTGTTCAGTTCAAACTCTAGTCTGAATCTGAGATTTGTGCGTCTCACGTACTCTTACGCTGCTGCATGAAACCCCAGAGCGCCCATATAGTCACTGCAGTTCTGAAACGCATTTATTTCACATGTCAGAAGCCAGTTTCATCCTGGCACTCAAGAAAATCTGCACATTAAAAACGAAAAGTTCCTAACACGCTGACAGCCACAGCAGCCGGCTCACGCCCTGGCCTCAGACCTTTCCCGTCTGATTCTTGTCTGTGCAACCGGAGGCTCCCGACTGCTGTTGCCCTACCCGGCGATGCCCACGGAATTTATGCAAAGGGAAGTGAGCATGTAGCAGCCCGTTTCTTGAAGGGAAGGTTTTACTTAATACTTTAATAATCCCAGCGAAGCAGATACCCGTGTATCTTTATTGACAGGCGTTTAACAATTTTGCGTAATTTAAAATGCCACCCGGGCCTATCAAGTGGCGCGGCCTCGGGCAGGTGGGCCTGAAAGATAAGGGTGCGCGGGCTGTGTACACGGACAGCTTCGGTCTCTCTGCTGCTTTTCTCACACTGACTTTTGGGAGCCAGCTCATGATCCCAGGATGTACAAAACTATAATAATTGGATTATTATTGACAGGTAAGTGGAAAAAAATTTTTGATATGATGCCCTTTTGTTGCATATGAGATTAGAATTAATATAATTAATATATAAACCATCACGCTTTGGTTCTATCTTATTTTAATGACTAAAAGAATGAGTATAATCTCCCTCCCCAGGCTGCTGGGTGGATTTTACTGGACTCAGCTGTCAAGGTGGAGGAATTGGCGTGAGGGAGCCAGCGATTGGGGCTGGATCAGAGTTTCCCAGTTTGAGAAGCATGCTTTAGTTCTCAGCCTAGCTAGAATTTCAAAATGTGTATAAAATACTATGAGAACTATTTCTGCCTGAATGAATGTGTCGCTTTGTTGGTGTTTAAATGGGGTGAACTTCTAAATGAGTCATTAGTGAGGATGAAGTGGATATGCAGTCCTCGATTTTTAAAAAGTTTTCCAAGAAATTATCATTTCCTCGGCCTCCCGTCAGATACAAGCCACAAGCTGACCTCTGAGACCCCAGGGGTCACGCTCTCTCTCCGTGGGTCCGTAACTGAGGTGTGAAGCGGGGAAGAGAAAAAAAACAGCTCCCTTGGCTTTGGTGTTCCGTGGTTTGGGGACACGTCTAAATCAATTCATTAAAATAAAGAAATAACATGGGGGTATTCTTAAGTCGTGTTAAATTATCATTCTGTTTGGCCTCTTCCTGAGAGTGCTATGGTGGTCATCTTTCCGAAATGCAGTGTTCACGCGTGGGCAATGCTAGTGCCCAGCGCAGGGATAAGGAGGGACAATCGTTTGAAATGCACGTAGCCCGTCAGACATCACTCAAACGCAGGCCGGAGCAAGCTCCGGGCGCCTCCTGGGTGCTCTGTAGGAGACAGGCAAGAGAGCCAGCATTGCCAAGGTCCCTCAGGGGGTAAAAGAGTGTAACGGTTAAAGTGCTGACGTAAGGGACAGAGAGAACTGGGTGCAAATCTGGCTGCACATCTGAAAGGTTCGAGAACAATGAAATCAAATCACTCACCCCTCTGGCTCAACATCCTCATCTCCGAAATGTAGGCAATGTTGGTAGCTGCTTCACAGTGATCCCATGAGGACTGACATGGTAATTAATGTAATGTACCTCTTCCCGTGCCCAGCTCACAATGAAGTAGTACGTATTTAGCAATAATAATAATTATAGACTAGGGAACAAACCTGGGCATGTGATGATGATTTCTAACAAGAAGAAAATTACAGGAGCACAGGAGACTCTGCCCCAAATTTTCTTTTTAAGTAGCAAAGTATGAAAACATTTAGCTTGAAAAAAAACCAAATGGAGGGTATATAGTGTATTATTTAAATATGTTCAAATATTTGTAGAGTTTTAGACAGAAGACAGGTCTTCTTTGTGTTGCCTCAGAGGGCAGTGTTGGGCTACTCCGTGGAAGTGGACGCTACTCTTCTTTGGGTGAGGCACGATATCTGGGAAAACTTGATGTGTCTTTGAGGATTCCTGGAAAAGAAAGAAATTCTTCATGTCTACAGCTGCTCAAGCAGAGGGTGGATGAGCACCTTAAATGACACTTCAGGCGAGGCCAACGAGGCCACGGGAAGGCCCCTTTGGCCTTCAGGGCCAGTGCCGTCGCCCTCTTGCGTCTCCTCCAGCCCTTCGAAGAAGGCCCCCAGCTGTGACCGCCTTACAACATCATGGACAGCTGTGCGCAGAGGGTTTCCCCCCTCACCCTTCAGTTGTAGAGGGGCACCTGGACCACGTGAGGGAGGTGAAACAGCATCGGCTAGGGAAAAAGAAAGGATGGTTTTGTTTTCTCCAGTAATCTTAAGGCCAAGGCCAATATTTCTTACTTCAGGTATTGTCGTCACGTGCCAAGTCCTTTATTTCGCAAATAGTTTCATTTCCATGCATTCGTTCATTTGATCGTTCAGCAATTCACATCAAGTGCCCAACACTGAGGCCAGAGCAGTTAGAGGCATGAGTCCCGGGTTGGGGGGTGGGGGCAGCGGAGGCCACACAGACATTAAACAGAACAAGTAAACTATTAAAATAACGGGCAGCGAAAAACAAGACAGAGAAAATCACACCAGGCAAGGTCAGACATAACACAGAAGCTTCTTTAGGAATGGGTAGCAGGAAACGCTTCACCATCAGGTGACGTTTATGCTGAGAGCTGAACAGTAAGAAAAGGCCAACCTTGCAAAATCTGGGGAAAGGGCACCGAGGGCTGTAGGCTCGTGCTCGCACCTATGAATCTCTTCAGCTTGGTGTGAAATTGGGCTCTGGAGAAAAATGGACACGCCACTATGAATTGCTTTGAAAAAGGAGTCCTAGGAGAGGGAAAAGAATGGTGGTATCTCAAAATGAACTTCCACTGGTTCTAAATTGCAGAGTTGAATTTAACATGCTTGTGCTAATTTTTTTTTTAACTTTCCTTTCTAGAGGATTATTGAAAATATCTATGAACCTATTTGGGAAGCCTATTTTAAGTAATTTTCCCAACTTGTCATTATAGGTTGTTCTTTCTCGCTTGACTCCACTTCATCTCCTCCAAATGGCCAGAATACAATACAAGCAGGTAATAGATTTCCAGCCATTATTATCATATCCATATTGTTAATAAGTACCTATATGTGAAACTCTGTGATAAATGAACTAAACTAAAACTGAAGCAAAAGTACTGAAATGAAACATCCTATGACTATCTCTGGGTGTGGGGATTGTGGGTAACTTTGTTTTCTTCTTTTTAAGACTTTCTAAATTTTCTGCCAAGAGAATCATAACTTGTAATCAGGAAAAGTTTAAAATTGTTTTTGACAAGCGAACTGAACACACACAACCTCTGCTTTCTAAGAGGCCTCTTTCATTAATCAATGCCAACAAACATGAATGGAAGAAAAGCAAAATACCAGCATTCATTTCATCGTTATTACTACTCGAACAAACTTGGTGATGGCGTATGCGGAAACTGATTTCAGAGATCTGATAGAGAAAAGAACAGCGATTGATGGGGAACATATGATAACCCGTCATTAATAATTTTATGTTCTTAATATGGTTTATTCCTGTTATGATACCCCAAGTCCCCAACAATCATGCTCCCGTTGCTAAGAGTATCAGATAGGAGATTTCTTTCACATCATGGAACTCCGGCCCATCCCTGTCTCAGAAAAGTAAATGAGCTCAAAAACATCGTAAGCCCCAAATCATGAAACACTGTTGTTCTTCTCTCAGTCCCCCAGCACCTCACCGATGCCCAGGGCACAGAGCAGGAGGAGGCGTCTGCCCCCGGTGACAGGAACTTTAGGTCGGACTCCAACTCAGCAGTTTGTCTCGTAGGTCCAAAGCAAAATGTCTTGCTTTCTCTCCGCGGAGGTGTGCAGAAGCCTACAGCAGTGTTCTTAAATTTAATAAATTACTTAGGTAGAACAAGAAAAACAAACGATCTTGACTCAGGGAAGAGACGGTTAGATCCGTGGTAGTAAATGAGGAAGAACTCAAGTTCAAGGTTTCCGACTGGACTTTTTCTTCCAGTCCAGCCTGAAAAGAAGACCTCCTTACTGGTCACATCTGACCTTTGTGCTCTTAACTTCCTGTCACCGAAACTTGTGAATATCCCTCAGCAGTTTCCATTCCAGTTCCAGATTTTCCACTTTATCTTTGTGCCACCTTAGGTAATGTGAATCAAGAGATATAAACATTTATCCAGTGATAGAGAAAAACAGTTCTACACTTCAGAAAAAAACCATGTAAAGAAAGGGGCTGGCGTGTATTTTGTTTTCACATCTTCATTAAGAAAAAAATGAAAAGGAAAAAATAAAAAATGAGAATTTGATGATATTAATCATCCTTACTAAATACTTTCCATGTGCCAGGCATTGTGCTACGTGAGCCCTTTACATAAATTTTTTCATTTTATCCTGACCACATCAACATGGAGTAGGTGTGATCCCCAGTGCACAGGCAAAAAGACAGAGCTTCAAAACGTTTTAAAAACTGGTCCCAGGTCACGCAGTCAGCAAGCAGGGCGGCTGGGAGCAAACCAGGAGGCCTGCCTGACGAGCCCTGGCCCTCGCCCAGCACTGCCTACCTCCTTCCCCGGGGGAGGAAGGCCATTCATTCCCCGCTCTGCTCTCCGGAAGTCAGAGTTGTTGACATTTCTGTGCAAATCTTTCAGATATTTTTATAAATATATACTTAAAAATTACTTTGTGAAATGTTCTGAAGCCTGCCTTTTTCTCTTTCAGAGAGCATTTTTGTCCATATTAGTAAACATACTTGTAAAACATTCTCATGGCTTCATAATATTGAATTGGAGGCATAAGTCATGGTTTACATAACCTCTGCCAAGCTTTTGAATATTTAGGTTGTTTCTGCACTATGTTATGTTAAACACGTGAGGGTAGACATCCTTGTAGACACATATTTCCATGTGAGAGTATGTACATTTTAAAGGTTTGGATGAATATTGCCAAATCTGCCTCCCCCAAAGTTATACCAATGTATATACCTATCCGTAAATTTTGAGAACATCTGTCTCTGTACCCTTTTGCCAAATTCTGTGCCAGAACTCTTCTTTTTCTTGCCAGTGGGATAGGTGATTGCTAGTGAAAGCCAAGCATTTTTCTCTGATATTTTTTAACAGCCTTATTAAGATGTAGTTGCCATGCAATGGGATCACTCCAAGTGGAGGGCTCAGAGCGAGGGTTAGGGCAGGGCAAGTGAGGGACTTACCTCTGGCCCAAAGTTTAAGGAGCAGCTCAAACCTTACTCAACAAGATAAACATTTTAATGCAGTATTTTTTTAAAACTCAACATTAATTCCAAAACAATTAATGATGAATAAAATATCAACATTTTAAATACAGTTGGCGTCCATGAGAGTCAGGATTGGGGTGACGAGAAGGAGATGAGTTGCCTTTTGGGGGGCCCAACCCACCGCTACAGCATCTGCCGGAGCTGCTTCTCCTGACCGGGCCCTGGACCCAGTCCCCCTAGTTCTGTGAGACTGGCAAGGTCTCTGGCAAACCTCACAGCCCCTCAGGCCCCGCTTGCAACAGACAGAGGTCTCCAGAGGAAAGCTAGTGGGGGGCATCGCGCTCACCACCCCGCTCTCTCCGCCCCCCACCACCCTCACCCCACCCCTCAAGTGCCTGCTGTCCTGGTAGCCTCTGCCCACTCCCCTGGCTTTGGATTTGCTCAGCTTTTCTATTTGTTCTACTTGTTCTGGCTTGGTCTGCAACAAGCCAGTCACCAGTCCTCAATTCAATAATTGTGAATAATTTGCTTTATCTTTCTGTAAGTGTGTAAATATCTATGCTTTTCTTGTATCATCTGAGAGTCAGCTACAGACATCACGACACTTTGCCCCTAAATATTTTAACATGCATCTCCTAAAAATGACCACAATTATTTTAACTTCTAACATTATTAATAATAATCTCATAATAATAGCATCTAACAATATTAATAATAATCTCATTTAATAAAAATTTGCCCCTTGATACAGATCTCAAAAACCTCTTGTCAGGCAATTCATCAATGTCACTACAAAATAAGTGTATGGGAATGTCAGAACATGTGATAAAGTTTATCTTCATTGATTTATTACCTAAAAGAGGTTCATATCAATCACTTGTGATTGCAAGGCAAATATTTTTCAGATCCTCTCGGTTTATTTTTGCTTTCTTGATCTATCACGATTGGAGAAAACTTAAATTTGCTCACTGTTACTGTAGTTCTGCTACTTTTGCTTTATGTTTCTTGGTATATTATTGGGATATAATTTGTTCATATTATTTTTGTTATATTATTTCATCGTTCATATTATATTTGTTATATTATTGTTCACATTTACTTAAGAATCATTGTGTAACATCCTTTCACAATACAAATTAATCTTCTATATCCTTTTTAATGTTTCTGTCTTTAATTCTACTTTGTGTAATATTAAGATTGTAATTTCTGTTTTTATTTATTTTAATTTATCTAATATATCTTTGCATTTTTTTACACATTTTACATTCTCTTGTTTTATTTGAGTTCCTTGTAGTCTAGTATGTACCACTGGGTTTTGGTTTTTGTGTTCCTGTCTATGTTTGACTCAGTCTAAAGGTCTATGTCTTCTAATGCACAAATTTAATCCATAGGTGTGTGTGAATTCACAGCTGACATTTAGTATTTTTTATCTTTATCCCATACTTTCTTTATTAAGTGACTTCTTCTTTCTGATCTTTTGAGATATACCTTATAGTTTATTTGCCTTTATATTCTTATGATTTGAAGGTACATGTGTAAGCCTGCTGCTGTGTGTGTTTTTAAAAGCATTCTCTCTCTGAACGCCAAACCATCTTAATGGCTCAATACACGTAGAAACTTTAACTGCTTTTATCAACCCTGTACAGCCCAGAGAAAGTTGTTCTAGGCTGGATACAACTGGCCAAAAGCTTGTGGGCATCTTCAATGGATCTCTGCTGTGTCATGGGCAATTGATTTTCCCCGGGCCCTCTGGAGACCAGGTATTCAGAATAAGGCCTAACCAGGAGTGTCAACCTCAGTACGTATTCAAGTACGAGGAAGACAGAGTGAAAGCGCACTGCCCCTCATTGCACACGGAGACATCCACATAAACACACAGGTGTATGAAACAAAATCCCACAAAATAATAACTCTTTGCTATATGTGATACATGTTCATGTGTTCTCTTCAATTTCGTACAATGTAATTTTTTAATGCCAGTGACAACCCAGTGAACTGACTTCATGGGCCTTTAACACGGAATTCACTGTCTTGCCTGCATGTGGGAATCATCTGAGGGCTTCTGTAAAGTACAGATGATCGGATTCCACACCAGAGAGTCTGGACACGCTGACGCCATGGTCAGCCGCCTGCAGCCTGGGTCAGATCCAGGCCCCCACCTGGTTTTGTACAGTCTGCAAGTTAACAGTGGCTTTTACATTTTTCAGTGCTTTTTAAAAAACAAAAGAAGAAATATTTTGTGGCATGGGAACATTATATGAAATTAAAAATTTAGTGTCATAAGTAATTACTGAAACACAGCCACGCTCATTTGTGCTTTGGTTTACCTCTTGCCTATGGCTGCTTTTGCACTGTAGCAATCAAGTTAAAGTTGTAACAGAAACGAACCGTGTGGCCCACAAAGCCAAAAAACATTTATTCTTTATCCCTTTACAGAAAATGTTTAGCAACTCTTGCACTCAGGGAGCCCAAACTACAATTTGACAACTCGTTTTTAGACTGAGGATTTTCACGCTAAATTCCTATGGAATTTCTTGAAGCTGCTCCCCTGTGGCTATGGACTCAGGTTCAAGCCTCTAGGCCTATAAGCCCGGTTTCCACCAGAGCCGGTCCACACCTCCTGTCTCACACACTGAGGAGCCGGCCCTTGGAAAATGCATGGAGTCAAACCCAGTGTGGGGGAGAGGAGGTTTTCTAAGTCAAACCACAAGGAATACCAACATTTAATATGGCAAATTGTGAAAGGTATTATTTCAAGCATGTCAGGCTCATATGGGATGGTTTCTAATGCTGTTGTAGATCTGGACAAAGGTAACATAAGAGTCTTGCATTGGGCACCTGACCCACTAATTGTACCCGTTACCAGGCCGGGCCGTCCTCTAAGAGCTACTGACTGGAGAGTTCAAACAAGATAATCAAAACGTTAGGCTCGAATGTTCTCACTCACGGAACAATCCATTAGAAAGTTCAGCTGTTCTAAGTTGTAATTGGCTACTTCAGTTTAATAAAACCATCCCAAAAATGAAAAATGAATGACGACAGATGGACATACGATTATATCATTACAACTTGACCCAGGCTGAGTTTTTCAAGCCTTTGGCTCAAAAGCAAAACTGAGTATTGCCCTTAAAATATTGACTCATGACAATAGCTTTCTCCAAACTTGAACTGGAACAGGCAGGATCCCCACTTACGCCTGCGTTCTCTACACAACAGTACAGTTTAACAGAAAAGAATTTTGATCGACAATCAACAGATGTGAGTTTTTGTCCCAGTTTGACCACACATCAGCTGTGCAGAGCTTCCACGAATAAATGTATCAATCAGTCTTCATCATCATCACAAAGCGCAAAACTATAACACTCAGAAAATGTAGTGGTCTGACTTGGAAACTATTTAAGGCATTTTATATGCAGGGTGTATACCCTTGTAAGAATTTGCTTTTGCAAGATAAGACTGCCAACAACTGCAAGTCAGGAGGGAACCAAAACCAAGCCAAAAGCTGCCAGAGCCGAATTTATCACTTCGTGACAGGAGTTCAGCTACCAACTGGAAGCTTACGGCACAGAGCAAGCCTGCGGCGGCTTCCCCCGGCATTGCGCTGTGCTGTTCTTCTTACCAACATTCCACGTTAGAAATGGGCCCTGCTGGGGCAAGCCACGTGGGTTCCTGGATAGAGCACAGAGCAGAATGTTAGGAGGCTGGACCTCTCTTCCCAACTGTATCCCTACCAGGGTGCTGGGCCCGCAGGTCGCCCCGCCTCCTTGGGACAAGAGGAGCAGAGGCGGGGCCCTCTCACACTTCCCCCACCAACAGGTAGACAGCCACGGCTGCTGGAGGGTTCCTGAGCAACTGTGGGGTCAGGGCAGGGAGGGTAAGAGACAAAGGAAACCTGCAACAATTCAAATGCTACGCAAGTGCAAACTGTGAGATGAGACAACCATGCAAATTTGGAATACTTCGTATTCTGGATGGTGTGTTCGTATTCTGGATGGTATGTTCGTTCATTCAAGCATTTATTCATTCATACCACCCTCCCCAAACCTGAAACTATGGCATTCAGTTCGGGTAACAAATATAAACTGTGTTTTGTCGTGTATAACGGGCATGTTTTTGCCCACATTTTTGAGGGACAAGTAAGGGTGTGCATTATACATGGGTAGTGCCTGAAATATCTTGTATCTGTTCTTGTATTTTGTAATTATTTGTTACGGAACGTTTCTTGTACCATAATATGTTAAAAAATTTGTGCTAAAATACCTTTATAATACAAAAAAACAAGTATCTAAATATACATATATAAATAAATAATTGAATTAAAAAATTGAAACAAAAGATTTTTTTCCTGAAAGTTTGGGCCAAAAATATAAATGCGTATTATACACGACAAAATCCAGTGCTTCGTGCAAAGCACCATAACAAATGCCCTTCCAGTGTCTAGGGAATGAACAAACAGATTTAAACTAGGAGTTCAAGGCGTTGCCAAACCTCCCTCTCTATTATATTGTGCACTAATTCTTCTGCGTGAACATTAAGGCTTTGTCAGCCTGAGAGATTTGCCTGCTTTTGCCTGCCAGCTGTCCCCTGCCCCATTTTCTTCCCTTGTTTTCTTTACCTTAATTCCTCCTTCTCTGCATTTCCACTTAAAACTCCACCTGCCGTCCAAGGTTCAGCCAGTGCTTCATTGCAAGCAGGCATGGGGTAGGTTTCCCAGAGCCCAGTGCAGCTAAGGCAACAGGCAGTATTGGTCCGAAGCCCGTCTGTTGCTGGGTAGCCAGATGCTGGATACGTCTTCCCTAACACCTCAAGGTCAATATGCTTCTCTAGCAGAAAGAGGTGGCATTTTTTCAGGTGTAGTCTGGACATGTTCCTTTTAGAAAAGTGAAGGGTGTAAGAAAAGGACCTGCATGTCACTAATGCCAGAGCAGAAAACAGTTTCTCTCAGCAGCAGGACAACACTGAGGGCTGGGAGATATGATGTGAGTAGCACGAAAAAATCAGTGTGAAAAAGTCATCAAAATAAAAACTACGTGATTGTTATTAAAGTTCTAGCACTTAGGATGTCTGGGAATCTGGAGAGGTTTACTTGTCCTGTTTTGTGTACAATGCACCCTAGTGTTCACTAATTCATAAGCTAAAACATCAAAGACAATCTTGTCGACAAGGTCTCAGCCAGTCAGAGAAAGCTGGGAGTTGGGAATAATAGTGGGGATCAGCAGAATTCGATCTCTGTTTCTTTCCTTACCAGCTGTGTTAACCTGAGCTAATCATTTAATTTTGATGGTATCAAATGTCTTATCTGTACAGTAAGGAAGTTAGAGTAAATGTTCAAAGTGACCTTGTAATGTAAAAATATATTCTAAATTAAATAGAACGATATTTAAATTGGTCTTTAATATGAAAACAATGTAAACAGACTTGTTGATTTAGCTACAGAAAGCTATGAGCCCAGAGCGCAGCAGAGGAAGGAAAGAAGGAAAGAAGAAAGGAAGGAAAGAAGGAAGGAAAAAAAGGAAGACAGAAGGAAGAGAGGGAGGGAGAAAGAGGGAGAGAGACCCTTCCCATAATCCAATCCCTATGAGATTTAGGCAAACCATGGCTGTCGTTTAATAGTTAGAATTTTAGTTGGATCCTTTCTATCAATTAGGCCCAAATAAAGAGTCTATGGGAAAAAGCCCTGTTTAAAATCCATGTTTTCACAGAAATTTTATAACTTTGCATAACTGAGTATGTCCACAGATGTCTATTAGCTGATTAGGGCCTGAGAACCCTGGGAGGCCCCGATAGACACGAAGGCTGTGGCTATCCCATGAGGCATTAGAACGTTCTCAGTGGTTGTTCGGGGCACATAGCGTGGACCTTCGGCTTCCTGACCTTGAAATTTGAAAGTAGCTTAAGCACCTGAGGATGTATAAAGAGAGAAAAGAAGTATGGGTGAGAAACTTTAGAAATGGTTTACCTTCTATGAGACTAAAGGAAATTGAATTTAAGAGAGTCTTTGTTGCAAAAACAAAACAAAACAAAAACAAACAAACAAATAAACAAACAAACAAACACCCATAGATACAAAAAGCAGTAGGATGGTTACCAGAGGGGAAGGAGGGCAAGAGGAGGTAGAAGAGGGTAAATGGTGGTGGAAGGAGATTTGACTTGGGGTGGTGAACACACAATACAATACACAAATGATGGGTTATAGAATTGTACACCTGCAATCTATATAATGTTATTAACCAATGTCATCCCAATAAATTCAATGTTTTAAAAAAAGAGAGTGTCTTTGTGTTAATTTTTACTGAGGAAATAAGACTATCTGGGAGACAGAGTGAGGGAGGCCTGGAACATAGTTTCCCTGAGTTATGTAGAATGCTATGCAAATGCGGGAGACATGGGCTAAGGTTGTCTTTTGTGATATACTCTGTGTTCTACTCTGTCACCTCATTCTTGATGCCTTCTCAACTTCTATTTTTTACAGATTTGGTTTCCACATCCTCTCCTACTCCTAAACCGAAACTAACGGAACTGTCAGTTACTAGAAATCACCTCACCACAGGAGAGGGGCAAGCAGGTTTGTCCATATTTTTAAATAGTTGCCCTGGAGTTATTGTTTTGATGCAATACTACTTAATGGGATCTGTCACTGCTAGGAAACTGACAAAGTCTAAGAAACAGAAGCTAATAAGTAGATGCAATCCCTATGCCTCTGAGCAATTCTCATCTCTAGAATGTCTCATAGAAACAATACTTAATGTTAAAGAAAGTCAAGCAGATTAGCAACAGAAGGGAAGAATGAGACCAGGAAAAGGTGGGCCGCAGACAGGCAGCCAAAAACGCAGTGGAGAGGAGACTCCGGCAGTGGGCGGGGGCAGGGGAGCTCAGCTGTCCCAGCCGCTGACCCCAAGTGAAGGGACCTCCGTCCCCTTCATTTTCAAATGGCGTTCTTAATGCTTAGCTCACGGCATTTCTCTGAAGAGGGAGAAGATGTATGTAAAGTTGCTTAGCTCCAAGTCTGACCCACCAGAAGTACCTAATAATCAAGAACCTTAAACCAAGCTGGGTGCTGAGATAAGGGTGGTGAGGCAGCACCCACTCTCTGGTTACTTCTCTGGCGGGGAGATAACTGGGCAAGAGCAGTTTGAAAGGAGGAAGAAAGAGGGTCTGTGCAGGTGGGGTCGAAGCAGGATACTCCAGATTTAAAATAAAGCCTCAAAGAGGAGTTAGAGTGGCTGTGGGAATCTTTAGGTGACAGGGACACCGAGGCAGGGTACTGAGATGCACGGAAGCAAGACATCTTAACAAAGAAGAACATTAGACCAAGTGCTTGGAACTAATTATTAGGCTCCAATTAAACCATCAAATTTTCAAAATGATTTCAATGGGAAGTCAATGTGGTGGTGTCAAACCGGAAAGCATTTAAGTGCCAATGACAGACACACACACAGTGCCTCGGGCCACGAACCCCGTAATGAACAGCTAGCATGGTGGGCCATTGTGCTAAGGATTTGCATGCATCACGTGATTGGATCCTTACAGGCACTGCAAAGAGATAAGTATTATAGTCTTGATTTGCTCAAGAGAATACAAAAGCACAAAGAAATTAAATGACTTGTCCAAGGCCGCCAACCAGTAAGAGGCTGAAACCCCTTCTCTCCTATGCTGGGGCTCCATACACCAATGACAGGTGTCAACTGTGACAAAGAAAGAGAAGACAAGCCCCAATTACCCTTCATAAAGAACTGCCCCAGAATGAACCTAACCGAGTCCATGTGACCATGTGGCATGATATAGTGCAACATGTTATTTATAATAATGAAATTCAAGAACACTGCAGAGTTGTAACAGTAAAAGGGCTTCGTGACATAAAATGGCATTTAGAGAGAGCAGAAAAAAGAAATGTAAAATACGGACTGATAAGGGAGAAGCTAATTCTGGTGAAGCATTAAAGCAAGTGTACTGGAAACTTCTGCAGACAGAGGAGTTAGTGGGACTGTTGACAAAAGCTCCGATGAGACCCAATAAGGGTTCAGCTGGTGGCTGCGGCCATACATCTAGAAAATTCACAGCAGCATGACCTGTTTCAGGAGCGGACTGCACGCAGTCTGCGTTGGAGGATGGCTCAATGGGTCTCCTTTCTGTTCACCACTTTTACACTTAAAAAAAATTTTTTTAATTTTTAAAATTTTCTATTTTTACACTTCTTTAAAATGCACTGTTTCTTATGCAAATCAATAGGGGTTCTTTCAGTATTTTCTCCTACCCTGCCCTTTAGTTAGTGAGCTGGTTTCCTGATTTCTGACCTGTGAAAGCTTGTCGGGTAGTGGAAAATAGGTATGGAAGTGCTAACAGTAAGACTGTATCTCTTAAGTTTTACCAACTGTTGAAACTCGAACAACAGCTCCCTAAACACAGTTAAGAAAAACATACCCCCTGACTAGTCTAATTCCAAAGTGCTCTTTTTTTTTAGAGATACTAACTTACGCATTCTGACTTCTTTTGACATTTTGTCTTTTTAGGCGCAAGAAGTCAAATTTCCCACACTTTCTCAGAACCAGGTATGTTAATATTTACATAAACTGACAACCTTTCTAGGATGTATTAGGTATTGCTAGTTCCCAATACCCAAGAAAATAAGAAGTGTTGATTTTAAAAACAAAAGAGTATGCTATTAAATTTAATCACACAAAATTGTAGGAGCAAACAAAATACGCTCTTTTTACAATTAAAATAGGCATTTCCTATTTCCTTTTTTTCCCACATCCTCACCCGAGGATTTTTTTTTCTTTAAATTGATCTTAGAGAGGAAGGAAGAGAGAGAGGGAGAGAGAAACACCGATGTGAGAGAAAGACATTGATTGGCCTCCCCCTGCGCACCCCAACCGGGACGGCACTCCAACCAACTGAATCACCCTGCCAGGGCTCTTATTTTCCTAAACATTTTGGAAATAGCAATACATAACTTCATAATAATTTTTCTTTTAAGGTAGATGGTTTAGCTTTCTAACCACCATGGCTACTAGAGAAAATTCTCTTAAGAGCTTATAAAAGAACTGAATCTCTCTCATCCGTACTGTGAAGAAAGCAACGAGTTTAAAATCATCTCATTAATTGGACCCATATCAAGAATAAACAGAGGCCATTCATGTCCCAACCCCAATTCATTCTGGGCCCTATGCAACCCCTTTGGGGCTGTCTTCCAAACCGTCTGTAACTGGGCACGGCCACTTTCCCCCTTAGGTGCTGCCGCAGATCTGGCTTCAGTCATTTATGCGCTTATTTGCTATTCTGCACTTCTAAACCTCCCTTTGCACTTGGCCTATGTCCAAACTTCACACAGGAAAAAGAAAATGGATTGTGGAACTGAATGACTGTCTCATAAATTAAAGCTAAGTGGACAGGAAGGTTGAGTAATAACAGTGTGGGGGGGGGTGACTTTTATTTATTTTTTTAATCAATACTGAGACTTTTACAGGTAGATTAGCCAAATAAATAAGCCATGTTACCTGTATGATTTGCCTTCTACATACTTCATTTGGATTCACTACAAATACAGGGTCTGGCAAAATAATGCCACTTTCTTATTACAAATTCATCGGCATGTAATTCTGTAACATAACAATATCATCACACTCAAGCACATCATAGGACATTTTAGGTGACATGTTCGAATGAAAACTATAAATGATGACAAACATATTATTGCCCTACCTATCACACTCAAGCAGGCATTGCTTCCTCTGGACCCTGTGTACTATGAATATCCAAGAGTATTGTTAACTTAAACCTTGTTTGGTCCCCACCAAGTGAAAGATTTGAAAATGTTTTTAGTGATGATAGCCTACGCACAAAGATAATGTAGAAGGAAGAAAAGCTTAGAACATAGGCGACTTGAATTGCTTCTCACTAGCTGTCTCACCTAGGGTATGTAACTTCAACTCGTTTGACTTTTCCTCGTTTGTGAGCTGCTTATACGAGTTTCCTTCACAACTTCGGATTCTGATTCTGTGATCTCTGCAGCACCCCTTCCTACACCCAGATATTGTTTCCTCTCTGTGGGAGACTTTATGGTCCTTGCCACATCGGGGTGGCAAGTCCTCATAGCGGCCGCCCGTCATGATACTTGGGGGGCCCCATGAAGACAGCTGGCTTTGCAGTTGGGACGCTTAGGTCTTGCTTCTGTCGGATGTGTGACCTTGGACAAAAGACTTTACCATTCAAAGGTTCAGCTTCTCACATGACTACTATAAAAAACCTAATTTTTCAAAAGACAAAATATACATAAGAGTATATGCATGTTCTTTCTATAAAAAGGCAAAGTGATATTACCCTGATTTTACCTGTCCTATTTTTCGATGGGCATGCAGGGATTGATTTCGCACGTTTGTAATTGTCTGCCCTCTTTTCTCCCACAGCGATAATAGGCATTATTTTTCTGGTGATGGCTGGTGTCATTGTACTTATACTCCTTCCTGCTTATTGTATTGGCAAACTGAGACAGGTGAGAGTGAACTTCTTAATTTTGCTGTAACTGGTATGAACATCACTAGGAGGGTTAATTCCTCTGGGTTTGATGAAAGTCAGAGAAACAGAACAGCATAAAAAAAAATCTATCGTTTTCAACTAGATACGGAAAAGTTACTGAGTTACTCAAGCAAAAAATTTTTTTACATTTGCCCTATAAAGAAACCCCCAAATAGACAATCCCCATTTTCCAGTGAAAGATCCTCCACAGTTTTTGTCTAACTTGATTTCATATATTTTTATGGCTATAGATGAAATAGTGAAATATGTAAATATAGTATTTAATTTGAGTATGAAAAATATATAAAATAACACAATATATTTATATTTGTTTAACACATTTGCTTTTTTTTATTCTCATATTTCCTGAAACAAGTTTTTCAAGCTTTCACCCACAAATTTTCAGGCATGAGTGAATTTTTTAATTGCTTAAGCTAAGTTTAAGTCCATCTGACACAGCATTTTACCTCTTTTTTAAAAACTGTTCATTTTAGCTTTTTATTATAGCAGGGAAATACGACAGAGTCAATGTCTGAGGTGAAATTCACCTATGGAAATAACAAATACTACATAGAAGTACAAATACAAGTTTATATGAAAGTTCGTAAATATCCATGAAATAATAACTTAAAAAAAAAACTCTACAAAGTGAATTTTAACCAAAAGAGAACTTAAGCCAAAAAATGTTTTCATCTGAGGCCTTTTTCTTTATAGTGTCTTAAGTTTATAAAATTGTGACATTAATATTTTTCTGCTTTTTACTTCTAGAAAAAGTCCGTCAGTGAACAACCTCCATTGTCACATGACACAGACGCTCCTTTAAGTTCTGTAGAAACAGGAAACCCAGGTTGGTGTGACTATTCTTATTGCTTATTACCTTTTGGGAAGAGAAATAAATTAATGAGTTACTTCTCTCTGATTTGGGAAGGGTGTGCCCAGCTGGGATTCACTTATATTCTGTTCAATCAATGCTGCTTCTGTTAGATTTTCTTTTGATGTGAACATTTGTTTGCAGAGCAATGAAATTCTCTCTTAGGCATAAAGTATCTTTTTTAAAAAAAGTAAGACAAACACTGTAAGTAAAACAAAAACAAAGTTCTTCTGGGTACTTATTTTCCAAACTGAAGTTATAAAGGAGGCCCCTCAATAGGAGCGGCGTAATAACCCCAGACTTGGAGCCAGACCTGGACTTCAGTCCATACTCCAACACTTGCAACCTTGCGCAGGCGACTCATGCGGCGATAACGATATTGAACACGGAGATGATTCAATAGGGACGGAACGACAGAGTCGACCTCGTAGAATTTCATGAGGATGAAATGAGCTCCAAGGAAAGCATCTAGAACGGTTCTTGGCCACAGTAGGTGCCCGTGCCTGTTAGCTACTCCAGTGCGCAGGCTCTGCTCCCAAATAACCTCCTCTGAACAACGGGCCGGTCATTTGGGCCCTTGTTTCATTTTCACTCCCAGCTGCTAAGTAAATTCACACCATGTGGAGAACTCCAGGTATATTTTGCTCATCTAGAATAGTATTGCACCATGCAATGTTTAAAAAAAAAATTTATTGACAGCCTTAAAAAGTGGGAGATTTTACATTAAAAAAACATCCAGATGTTGGTATCCCTCACAGAAAAAAATGTAAACTTGAACGATGCTGGAGCCTCCATACCAGCACAAGAGCAATTCACAAGAGTGGCTGCTGCCACCAGTATTTATTTAAGTACCTAGTTAGTTTCACTTATTTCATTCATCATGGCCTCTTAGATAACCTCGCCAATTTAGTACCTGGCTCCTATTAAACTTTGCCTGAAACGTAAACCCAAGCGACTCTTTGGGGAGATGTCTACCGAGAACAAGTCTCTGTGAATGGGCTTCAATGCTCGAGCAAAAGGATCCAATCCTGCCTTCTCCAACATCTGGGAAGGTTTTCCCATGATTATTGTACATCAGGACAGAATTGAGGTCCCGTAAATGTCCAGATTCCAGTTTGAATCCTGAACCAAGCTTCTATCTTCAAAGGACTTGCTAGGCTTTCTAGACATGGGCGGGGAAGGGGGTGGGAATCATAAACAAAAATGGAAGTGTAAAAATCTACCAAAGCTGCTTCACCTAGAGGGAGGAGCTGCCTCCTCACGGGAGCTTTTAAAGCTGCAGGACAGCTAGTGCAGAACCATGGCTTCCTAGGAAGTCTGTGCTCTGCGGAGCAAAAAGCACACAAACAGTTCTCAGCTGTAAAGGTTGCTAAAATCCTATTTGCAGGTACTTAACATAAGCTTTGAGTCACGTCCCAGATTAATTTCATTTACTAACGTGGCCTTGCTATACAACTTGCAGCTGGAACAAATAGCTGTGAAATATTTAATTTACTTACTTTCTGCATTGTTTCAGTAAAAAGTTTTCACGCTGTTTGTAAAGTGGAGCACTTACCACCCAAAGCCTCACTTTTTGTTACTTAGATTTTTATATATCCCTTCCGCCACTTATTTATTCTGATGACAAAGTTTGTGTGTAGCATTTCCTCTGCCTCTTTTTTTCCCCACACAATCTTGGGCTTCTCTGTGGACTAGCCCGCAAAAGTTTGGGACAATTTAATCCATCAAAGGACATCAAAATATCCTTCTAAGTTTAAGGGCAACAAACATTTATCAAATGTTTACTGTGTGCTGGGCACCATGCTCACATTAGAGATACCAGTGAGTCTCTGTCCTTTAGAAGCTGACAGTCTAGAGGGGAAACAGATGGAAGATGGTCTTTGCAGTGAAGGTGTTTTAGGGTAGCAGAGGCGACAGCATCTGAAAGGAACTGGGGGCAGGTAGCAAAGGCTTCTGGAGATGAAATCACCTGGGGCCCATCTTAAAAAAGAAATGGATGTTCTCAGGACAAGGCAGCTGGGCAGCATGAACAAAGGTATGGAAAACAAAATATGGTGTATCCAAGGAATCATGGGCATTTCCCCACAAACAAGGTCCCTGCTTCAGTTCTCTACTCACGTCCCAAAAATAGGTAAAGGCAGTGGAAATTCAGATGAACCAAATTTTAGGCTCATTCATCTCCCCATACTTGTGCAAATGAAGTTAGTTAAGTATTATGTCTTAGTACGTTAGTGAAATGGGTCCTAAAATCTGATCCCACTTCACAAGATCATTAGAGAACACATAAGATTATTTAAAAATGCTTTAGTTTCATTCTTAGAGAATACGCCTCTACAGTAACTTAATAGACCAAAGGCAGTGAGAGATCAGAGCAATCATGCCATCTCACCAATAACTAGCGATGGTGGGGTATAAAGTGTGAATGGCTTTCACCTCCTTGAACTTGCACATGGTCTGTGCTTGGTGGGACATGAGAATAAGGGAACTGAGTCAGCTGCCCATGGCCACAGGTGACTCCGCCAGTCCATTTCTCATTGGATAACGCTTGGGATGCACAGTTCTCATGATAACCCGAATAGGAGAAAACCGTGGGAAATGCCCTGCTTCCACAAGAGCAAAGGCTCCTCCGACCGCTTCCACACACCCTCTGGGGGTAACATCTATCCAGGCTTCCAGCCAAGAAAAATGGAGCATTGGATCTGATGGAGGAGCCCAGCCCAGCACCCTTCCTCCACATGCTAGAATCAGAAAGGAATTTAGCAGTGAGTTCTGTACAGATTCCTTGTGTATGTCCAAGAAATAAAGGTATTCCCAAGAGACGTTGCAGGTGAGGGAGCTCACCTTAACTTTTCGAAGTTACACACGTGTTATTCAACTCACTCACCACTTACTGCCTTCCCACTATGTCCTGCCCCTACACAAGTTCTGGGTTCGTTTATCATCTCTGTGGAAACTAGGAGCAGAGCAATTATGCTTGTTCCTTACCCAAAGCTTTCAGAATAGATTTCCTAAGAAATTCTGTATCTTTACGCGTAACTCAAGTAAAGTTAGTCCAAAAGCAAATTGCTTTCATTTCTTAACAATTATATGTGAGAACAACACTGTAAGAATATAAAATTCTGAAATTATATGCATTAATTTCCTGTTGTATTTAAATATAACTATGTCTCATACTATTGTTTTATATTTTTTTCTCTATAATCCTTCTACAGAACAATAATCAACAATAATTTATTCACCAAGTCAAATTTTGGAAGAACTAAAAGACAAGAAACTTCAGTCAAGTGAAAAATTAACGTGTAAATTGAACATGTCAATAAATTGTATATACCCTTAAACTGTACAATATCAGGATGACAATTTCATCATAATAAGTCCAGTTACTCAATGATGGGAAAAACCTCTACTCATTAATATTTCAAAATGTAGAACAAATATTTTCTTTCATGCCTGCTTTTGTGTGTTAGCATAATGCTTATAGTTCATTGATTTAGAATTCTGATTCAAAGGCTTGTAATGTCATAGATGAAATTTAATTTCTCTTCTCACCCTAAACTTCTGAGTCTATTTTCACTTTTTAAAATACATTAAATCCTATCATCTCCTTCATTACTCAATAAACAAGATATGGTAATGCTAGGGATGACGGTATTTCTAGTCACAAAAATAAAGTGTGTTATTGGAAATGCTTTGCGTACATACATATATATAAATTTGTACATATGCATAGACATAAATATGTAAAATGACACTTACATTCACCCTTTAATGCATAAATCAATACAAAATTTTTTTCCATTAAAAAGAAGTGAAAAGTCACATCTACATAAATGGCCACGCCGCAGCATCATGCCCTCCCGGCCACCAGCTGATGCGGCCACTGTGTTCCACCAGAAGAGGGACTGATGTAAATGGTCAGAGAGTCCTGAGGGGAAAAAAAAGAATGACTTTTCCTTGCAAAAGGAACCAAGTAACTCTGTAAATGCAACAAGATGTGCAACCTGAATATACAGGTGAATATTTTAATAAGTCACCGTTAAGTTCTTCTTTAATGTCCCCAATTAAATTTTTAATCCATCCCGCCCTAGATTTTCTTATTAATAAAGCTTTGGAAATTGGCTTAAATACTCTAAAAGAAATTTCTAGTTATGAGGCTAAGGCTTTGTGCCTATACAGCTGTCACTCACTGAGAGTGAAACTTAAAAAGCAGTATAAAAACAAAGAAGTACCTTCCTGTGATATTTTTTCTCATTAATGAAAATCCATATGGCTTCCTATTGTTGTGTGACAATTCAATGAATAATATTATCTATGTATCTGGGCCGGGCAACTTAAATTTATTTTTTAATAAATTAAAAAATCTGAATCTTAACCTACCTGTCTGTTCAGAGACTGTTTTTATACTAAGTGGACTATGTAAAATAAAGAATAAACACACCTGTTGGTCTGTATTTTTAAAGTAGTTTTAACAGCATTATTGGATGAATTTGATTGCATGGATGCCCTGAGCAGGAAGACAGTGCACTTTTTAAAATGTACTTTTTCCAATAGTAATAAAATGTTGAGCCCAGAGAGAACGGGAGACAAACCTTGTCGCTGAAGTAATTTACAAGCTGAAAACAACGAGGGAGTAAAGCGACTGACTCAGGGCCAGAGCAGGAGAACGATGGAGGCAAGAAGTGCTCTAACCCCCTTGAACTTTTCCCATTAATTTCACTTTATTTCCCTCTGTGGACTTTTTGCATTTGAATGTAAAGTTTGTGGGGAGAAATGACCTTTACTGTCTTCATATTTTTATAATTAAATCAGCATAAGATGATAGTAAAGAACTATGAAGCCAACATGATCCCAAGCCTGGCTCAGGCTGATTTTCTTACAATTTGGGACTGGAGGGGCAATAGCTGTGAAGCTGATTAGAAAAGTTTATTCTTCGGGCCTGGGTATATGTTTGTGTAGGTGTGTGTGAGCAAAAGGTCTAAACTAGGGCGGAGACTGACAGGAGAAAGGTGAGAGACATTGAGAAGGGAGACGATGCAGAGCTGAGGAACGGCAGGCTGAAAGGGGTATTTGGGCGTCACCCTGCAAACCAAAAGCTCGCCGGTTCGATTCCCGGTCAGGGCATGTGCCTGGACTGAGGGCCAAGACCCCAGCTGGAGGTGTGTGGGAGGCAACTGATTTTCTCTCCCCTTCTTTCTCCTCTGTAAAAATAAATAAATAAAATCATTAAAAACAAAAGAACTAGGGAGAAAATGATGAGAGAAAAGTGAGAGACATTGTGAAGAGAGACTATGGAAAGCCAAGGAACAGCAGATGAAAGGGGTATTTTAGTGATATTAATATATAGAAATTGAGTAAGAGCCTTGTTTATTCTAAGCATTCATCTTACCAAATGTAGCAAATTCTTCGTAGAACACTCCAAAGAGCCTAATCATTTAGGCAAAAATCAATACAAAATTCTACCCAGTATCATGTACTGCCTGTACCATTTGTATTAACTGTGACCAGAAGAGTAGGGACTACCCAGCTTTTGGGAGAGAAGCAAGAGAAGAACCAGGTCCATAGAATACATTTTGAAGAACACAGGAGACATCACTGAAGTTCTTTCTCATTGTATCCTGAGTCTTGCTCATGTAATAGAAAACCATTATAACGTTAGAACTACTGATGTAGCAAAAACATCTCTTAATGAAAATGGGTACGATATCTCCAAAGTGCAGGGCAGGCTCCAGGGAGACACAAGAGGAGAGACTGAGGATGCTTCAGCCTCACAGACCTACCGTCTCCTCTGGCCCTGTGTGACTCTGGGTGCTCGTCACAATCCCCAGACTTGACCAGACCCCACAAGGCTCAAGGAGACAAAAGCAAAAACAAAAAATCATGTCAGAGCCATGCACCACAACTTTGATGCAAGGAAGTACAGTGAGATAAAATCAGCTGGAATTCTACTGGCTTTTCTGTTCTTGAAGAACCTTCCAAAGAGCAAAGCCAAGTGCATGGAGAACAAACACTTCTACGTCCTGCGCAGGGGCCTTCTCAGTTCTCGCCCATCAGATTCTCTCATTGCCGTGAACGAATGACTGATGTGTGTTTCTGCTGAACTCCTCGAATCTCTTAAGTTTCCCAAGTCTGTACCCAACGTTGTTACTACTAATCCGCAGAATTGTCATGAGATGAAACCCAGTATTATTTCTGGTTTAAAATACAGTAGCAGCAGCACCAGTGAAGGTGCCACCATTTGGCTCATGACCTTCTGTTTGCATGTATTGGTAAGAGGAAACTTGAGTCTCATCAGAATATCACTTTTGGTACTAGACATTGAGAGTCTCTCAGCTCTTTAGGATGTCACCTCTGTATTAAAAAAATACAATCTTGAGTGAGCAATGCCATTATCTATTTCAATGACTTGTACAGTATTTCAGTTTTATTAGGACATTCTAGGAAAACCCTATATTGGGCTTCTGATATATTGACTGCTTTTGACAAAATCCGGAACATGCCTCCTTTAGGTCTTTATGACTTTTTCTTTCTTCTGAACCATTTGCATCTAAAGTAAAAAGAAAGAATGCATAGATGCCAAGCTCATGAACACACTTTAGCTGGTCTGACTCTTCCCTTACGGCCAACATGACATCAGACATGTTTCCTTTCAGGTCAATGACCTGTGGCTGTGTGAGAGCGGTCTCAGTCTGAAATTTGCATGACCCTTCCTCGTGCAACACTGAGGAAGTGTTCCTATTGCAGGAGCAGATGGCTATGTCCCCAAGTATAACCCAGAACATAAGAAATAAGGCTGCTTGGTTCATTCACCCTCTCTAACCTACGGGTTCAAAGTCCTGGTATGTGGTCCTTGGTTGTTTTGTTAACCCTCTGCTCTATGGTCAGCAATGCACTACCTCAGAGAGACAAAGAATGACAAGCAGGGAATATGATTGCTACCAGTGGACTATGTGGTTGGTCGATGAGACATGCTGAGGCCAGTTTCATGAAATTTATTGAATGGTAATTCTTGAAATCAAGTTTATGCTTTAGTCCTGAAGAAACTGATTAGTATTTTTTAATAATAGTAGGGTTTAAAAGTTAATACCAAATATCTCACGTTATCTTCTAGGATAGGGCACAGCCAGGGACTCCAGTTAGAAAAACTGACAATGTGGATGCTGATGCTCAGCTGGCCCCAGACCACAGGAGGCACTCCCTCTAGTGGCTTCAGCGGGTCCTCTGCAGCCCTCAAGCCACATTTGAACAACAGCCTCCAACTTCCCCGCCCCATACCATGTCTCACACTTTGTAAACTTCCTCAAAACAGACTTTTCTTCTGAAGAGGCAACTGGGAGAAAGTATGGAGCTATACAATTTATGTATCAAGGGAGAATGCAGTGTTTGGGAAAAGGAGCCTCGAATACTTATCAGCCAACACTCTCCTTGACTGGGGGCCAAACCTTAAAATGCAGAAGAGCCAACCCTGACTCTATCTCAAGATACAGGTGCTGATAAAAACAGGCGCACTAGTATTCAACACACCACCCTGAAATACTCCATAAAAGCCGCCTTCACTCCAGACTCCAGACTTGTTCCCAGTGGCAAGGCTCATGAGCAAACAGGACTATCTAGAAACTGTAAGTCTGGATCTTTGAAGTGGCACATGTATTATGGGGGCCGGGGGTTGGGTGGGGGGGGAGAGGGGTGCGTGTTTGTTGTCTTACCCCTGAGGTCTCTCATATTACGGACTTCCCCTCTACTCACTTCGAGTCTGTGCTTCACATGGGAAAAATGACCCATCTGTGAGCAACCTGAACAGCAATCAGACAGTAAGTCCACTATACAGTTATGCAGAAGTCTAAAGTCTGCTCAAGTGTGAAGGGCCTTCTCTGCCCTCGTGAGCTTGACCAAACCTAGAAGCAGATGTCATCTGCGAATCAACGTGGAAACAAGTTTCTGACTTCAAACCATCCACTGTGTTGTGAGAATATTCAGCAGGATAAATGAGCTGAAGAGTATTTGATGTTAAAAATTGTCCTTCCTGTGAAAGAGATGACACAATCTAAAATCATTGTCACCAAGCCTCATCCTTTAGCCATCACTTGTACATCATACCTATAAGGAAAGGTGTTCTTCTAGCTGGCTGAAGCCACCATAAAAATGAGGTTGCTGTCATCACTCATTTAGCCACGTGCTCAGCATTCTTCCTTGCAGTCTCATAATTAGATTAATAAATTTGAGTAGGAAAATGCAAGTCATGATCAAAAGATCTGTAACACACCACCATTTAAAAAGAAAACATTAACCAACAGGTGCACCCCAAACTTCAGTATGACCTCGGAGCTTAAGACATCATTTGGGGGATCCCATCTGCTGAGATCCCGATTCAGTAAATTGGAGCGTGATCTGAGAATGTTTTTCTACAAGATCCCAGCTGCTCTCGGTTGCTGATCCTCAGAGCACGTCCTGGAGTAACACTGCTCTGAAACAACTGAGATATAGCTGAGCATAGGGACTTTACTGGGTGGCTAGGAAGCCAAGTTAAAACCACGTTGTCAGAAGAACGACGAGAAAGTTGGCTGCAAGGATGTCACTGCCTTCCTGTTGCCTAACACAGGCCTGGCTGCCAGCTGCCACAAAAGCCAAACTCACAAAGACAGGTGCTGGTGAAAAGGAAGGTCCATTTCAGATGCAGGCAACCTGGGAGATGGTGGACTCTTGCCTCAGAGCCCATCTCAATAACCTCAATGCAGGCAGAGGCTTTTCTAAGGATGGAGAGGGAA